TACATGTCTCACTTAAAATGTTGCTCAAACAAAGCATTTGTTTAATCTGGTTTCCACTGTGCAGATGTTACCTGCAGATGTCAGAGTGAACAAAATGTTGTTTCCTGCAGGTTCTCTCAGCACTCAGACGGGACTCTGGTCATCGGGCCTCTGAAGTCGGATGATTCGGCCGTTTACACGTGCACCGTTTCCAACCATCAGCAGCTGGAGCAGAAACAGCTGCAGCTCAGAGTCCAGGGTGAGAGTCTAGCATTTTATCAAACAGGATAACAGAGACTTTCCTTCTGTGTGTTTTACATCACAGCCAGATGTGTGTTGATGTTGTAGTTGCATGTAATCTCCAGCAGAGGGCAGTAACAGGGCAGGAGATCATATTGTATGTTGCAATAGATAAACAGCAAATCATCTGGATTTCTGAATATCATTCACAGTGTTAGCGTCAGTATTCTGGCAAGGAACATAAAGAATAAAAATAAATGACATAGATGCACTCTGTTTTTTTCTGGCCCAGCCGACCTGCAGATCACGACAGCTCCCAACAACATCCAGGTGTCTGAAGGCAGCACGGCCCTGCTGCCCTGCGTCGTGTCCGGAGACAACGTCAACATCGGCTGGTCCAGGTACAAACTTATACTGAAGAGCTGGAAAATTAATCCTGCTAGACCTTGTGTTTAAAAAACGGCCCAAGAATAACCAGAACTGCACAAAACTACGAGCTCGTAGGTGAGCTATTCAACAATAAAAGGAGACATAAATAGTGAAGTTATTATTTTTAAGCACATTATTTAACTTTAAGGATGTTTTTTAAATTCACAATGGAAACAAATTGATTCACACGTGGAGACGTTTAGTAATGTCTCTTGGCTGTTAAGTTGAGATCAAATAATTTAAAGAAAGATGAATTTAGGGAGTAATTTTAATGTGTAGAATTTTATCTAATAAATATTAATGTTTGTTTATTACCTGGCAAACCCCTGGGAAAAACAGCTCAGTATATCTGGCGCTAAAGAGGAAACATTTGGTTTTATTTAAAGGAATTCAAGTTATATTTGTCTCCAAAATTACCAAAAAAAGAAGGTAGATGAAAAATGAAGTTTCCTTCAACCATTTTAAAAATCAGTTATGTTTCTATAAACATAGACATAGTTTTGCCCAAAAAACTGTGTAAAACAATAGGATGGTGTCGTTGTAACCTGCAGAAAATGAAGTTGTCCTCTGTGGAGTTACTAAAAAAGAACATTGAGAACATTATAAAGGAAAAACAAACTTTGGAGTTGAGTTTTACAGACAGTAATACGATATTTTTTTTAACTTAGAAGTAGTTGTTTTCTTAAATTAAATTACAAATATCCATCACAAATTGATGTAGCAGCGTTACATCCAAGTAGTGTCTGAAATTTAAGCAGCAAATATTTGTAAAATAAGGATGTCTTAGTTGATTTGAATACAGCAAAACAATGAGTTTAAAGAATAGCCATTTGTAAAAATACAGCTTCTTGCAGTGGAAAATATTTAAAATTTTGGCCCATTTATTTTATCATTTAAGTCTTAATTAAACTTTTCTCCCATGAGTTTACCAATAATTACCTGTAATTTATTAAAACAGGGCAAATCTATAAAATAACAATAAATAGTTTTTAAAAAATACCGTTAAAAACATAGTTATTTTTTTACATTGTACACTCGTCTTATTTAAATCTTCAGTGTTGTAACTCAGGAAGTAATCAGTATTATAAAAGAAGACAGCTCTATCAGACTACAGCAGTTAATGGGTCCTAACAGAATTGTTTTCTGGTTTCTTTAACCGCAGAAACGGTGTTCCGATTCGTCCAGATGGAAGAAAAATCCTCACGTCCCCTGACGGCAGCCTGATCCTGAATAACGTGAAGCCGTCGGACGAGGGAACCTACACCTGCAACGCCTACACTGGGATCTACTCTGTGAGCGCCACGGCTGAAGTCAGAGTCATCAAAGACACACAACAGGGTGAGAACAACAGTCCAACACATTCAGACAAGCTGGACCCAACAGTTCGACAGGTTTCATATGGATCGGAATAGTCCGGATTTAGAAATCCAGGATTAAGTAATCCAGCTTATGTTTGTGCTAGATTTTCAAAGCAACATCGGAGCAAATCACCCAGACAGCTGCACAACCCATCAAACAGAGGAAAAAGTCTAAATATATAAAACAAAACCAAGGTTAATGAGATGCATTGACAATACTTGGGTAAGATTATACAACAACAATAAAGAAAAAGAAGCAAATGAGTGAAAATGAATAACATAAATTAAAAAAAAACGTAAATACATTTTAAAAAACAGCCAATACAAGATTACATATAGAATAGAATAGAATAGAATAGAACTTTATTGATCCCTTTGGTGCAAACCTCAGGGAAATTGTTATAATATATATATAAAGTATATATAATGTATACAGATAAACATACTGACTAATCAAATGAGATCATACAAAGCATTGCCTTTTATTGTTTAATGAAGGATATTTACAAGTACAAAAACAATTAAATTACATATGACAGATAAACTGTATTTTGACAGATTATTTAAGATTATGTGTAAGATCAAAAAATAACTAAATTACAAAGAATATATAATAATATTAAGATGTAGAATTAGATAAACGCTGATGAAAACGCATCCATCCAACGTTTTTGTTGTGAAAATCTTTATAATTATGCAGGATTTATCAGACAAATGTACATAAAATTACCAAACCAAGGCTTACCTCGGTTAATTATGTCAGATTTTATAAAAAATATATTTACAGTATTAACAGTTTCCTCTAATAATTAAAAAGAAGCTGTTGATGTAATACCCATACATTTGAAAATGTTTTTCAACTGTATTTATATGTCAGTGTTTTTTCTTAAACATAAAAGACATTTTACGATTAATCACGTCCAATTTATTATTATTTTTTGTTTGTTTGTTTTTTTTTTACATTCGACATAAAAATTTAGGGATTTTTTTTTTCAACTCCATGGATATTTACCTGCGTTTTAAAAATAAATAAATAAATTTAAAAAATAAAGTAAAAATGTGTTATAAATTGCAGATTTTTTACAGTGTGGCTTCTTCCATTGATTTCAATTGTATTTTCTCATGAAAGCCAGACAGTGTTTTGTCTATTTTTATTAAATAAAGCACCTCTGTGCTGCTGCAGGTGACGTGCCTCCTGAATGTGTCGACCAGCCTGAACTCGCCAACTGTGAGCTCATCGTTTACGCCCGACTTTGCTCCAATACGTACTACTCCAGTTTCTGCTGCGCCAGCTGCACCAGACACTCGCAGAGGAACGGCAGGTTCGGCCGGTCGGGATAAAAACTGCAGCTTCAGGACGGTTTGGAGGAAGAAGATGGTGCTTGAAAAGCTGTTCTGGAGGACTGCATTTCTTTTTTTTTTTTTTCTTTTAACTCTGAACTGCTGCATTTGCCAAAAGGACTCAACAACACTGACCAGGTTGTGCAGAAGCATGATTGAATAAATCAATAAAAAGGGACTGATTACCGTAGATGTAGGTGAAAGTAAACTAGGAGTTGTGTGATCAGGGAGTCCAACAATGAGAATGGAAACATGGACCTGGGAATGAAAGAAACCCTGTAAACCTGTAAAGTCTGCTGAATGTGACGAGGAGATGAGCTTGTTCTCACTCTGCCACGTCTTTAAGATAAGTTATTCACTCACTGGACCTGCGTGTTCTCTGTTTTTTAGAGAATCACGAGGATTTTACCTTTGAGATTATTAAACTGTTTCCTGTTCCGTCGTGACCACTTCTGTCTTTTTGATGTCTGTATTTCCACTTTATATTGTTTATTTTTATGTAATTATTTGATATTAAAAAGTAATATTTTGATAAAAACCTGGGTTGACTTGTGTTGCTGTACTCGAGGTTCTGGTTTGCACCACATGGGGGCGCTCAACAGATTAAATATGTCATTCAGCTGCTGGAGACTGAACTTGTGGATGCAACTTTTACTTTGCTGTAAACAACAAGTGATATCTCTTAAATAGCACAATATTGATGCCTTTAAAACTGTATATGTTAATTCAATTTTTTTATTTTACTTTATTTGTCTGCTGGGAGCAATTTAAGGCCCTTAGAGCAGCTGGATCAACACAAAATGTACAAAAAGTGCCAAAATGCTTAATAAGGAGCAGAATTACAGACTTTACATGAGGTGTAGTTGAACGTGGATTGAACATAAACAGGTTCAGTGCAACGTCCTGATGCTCACAAAAAGGATGAGCAAGACGGGGTTTTTCCCGCATGCATTAAAATGTCCGCAAATGACTGAACCAGCATGATATATGTCGTACTTCCTGTGTTGGTTCCCACCAGGTGAATGTTAATGTGCTTGTTTGTCTCTGTGTGTAGTCCTGAGGCAGCCTGGTGACCTGTGCAGGTGAACCCTGAGTCAGCTGGGATGTGACCCTACAGAGGATAAAGTGGTGTTTAGTTCATGGATGGCTGGATTAAGGCCTTGTCCACACGTAGCAGGGTTTTTGTAAAACCAAATATCCTGTCCCCTCCGTCTAGAAAAACACTAACGTACACACCACCTTGTTTTTAGAAAAAAATTCAACTACACCTAGCCGCATTCATATTCTACGTGAGGATGTAAGAACTCCGACGACAGGAGCGACGACCGGGACATACGGAAATTGTCACGCCATTCCTCTGGGAGCACGATTTCTGTCTCGAAGTTCTCCCACCAGCTGGCAGTGCATCCCGGTCTGACCCAAAACCGGCAATGGTGTCTTTGATGGAGAACATGCCTCGGACGTGGAATGGCAAGGTGGCGGAAAATAACCGTCCATAATGTCGTCCTTCGCCTGTGTTCTTGTACATCAGGGGTGTCGAACTCTGGTCCTCAAGGGCCACAATCCTGCATGTTTTAGATGTTTCCCTCTTCGAGCACACCTGATTCAAATGATCAGGATCGTTATCAGGCTTCTGCAGAGCTTGATGATGAGCTGATCATTTGAATCAGGTGTGTTGGAAGAGGGAAACATCTAAAACATGCAGGATTGCGGCCCTCGAGGACCAGAGTTCGACACCCCTGATGTACATGGAGCGGTATCTGGGCCTGGACCACAGACAACGCCAACACAGTTCTGAGGGCATCCAGAATGTTTCCAAATGTAAATACAGGTCGTGTACGTGACGCAAGAACGTATTTTGTCACAGGCAGTGATGTTTTGAAACCTGAAACCCCAGTTATTGATGTCCCCATGCAGACGCATTAACGGAGGATTCGCAAATCTTTACTTTGGTCGGAGGGTTTTGAAAGAATCGTTTTTAACGCCGTAAATCTGTGTTTTCGTGTGGATGACTGGTCAAATGGTAGAAAAATATCTTTGTTTTGTGAGATACCCTGCTACGTGTGGACGAGGCCTAAGTCAGGGGTCTAATGATCCTCCTGGAAATTCTGAGCGTCAAACATTTAATTTCCTGCATTCTAGTGGTTTTTCATGTCTATTTTCTGCCTCCGTTTAAGGTGGTGGTGTCTTAATAGACAGTGTGTCCATCTTGCACAGTGTAATCAAAATGTATGGCCTTGAAATATCATCCAAGGCCAAATGTAACACCATCAACAGAAAGCCTCAACATGGTCGCTCATCTGCACCAAATCCCATAAATCTACCTTCCACCCTTTTAAAGGTAAACGGCATCTTTGAAAAGGCGACCTTGGACCTCTAGCAGAGCTGTTTTTGCACCGATTGACCACAAAATCGGATCCATTCCAAGCTCGCCTGTATAACATCAGCTGGTTAGCAGTCGCGCTAGAGAGCGTTCACAGACGCTAATAAAGAACTATTTAAAATGATGAAGACAATAATATAAGACTTCCAGAAGCTGCACACATTATTCACACATGACATGACTTGAGCATCTTTTTGGCATCAGTGTATGTTTTAATATAATTCTACAAATATAACTGCGATGATGAAACGTTTCTCTCCTGTTTTCTTTAATATCAGAGAAACTTTTCATCATTTATAATCAAAAACCAATCAAATCTGATGAGAGATTTACAGCATGGACTTGAGATCATTGCAGTTTCTTTCCCTGTTCAGGGATATTCTGACAATCAGAGCAGGTAGAACAGGTGGAAACGATCGAGTTACTGATGAGCAGCTTTGGTTCTCTGCTGAGGCTTCGTTAACGTCATCAGTAACGCCTGTGCTTCCCTCAAAAGGCCTCTTGAAGCAGTTTGTTCCAACAGAAAGGCGAGTATTCAAGTTAATTTTAATTCATGCACAATGCCTCTTTAAGAAGAATTATGTGATGATTGACTAAAGATGAAATGTGAGGCTTTAAACACCAAACATCCTGCTTTCGGTTCTTGTGTTGCTTAATTTCTTCTAGTTTTTGACTCTCAGTGTTCCCACAACATTAGCAAACAAGTTCTACAAGAAATCATTTCAATCTAGTGTTAGGAGAATGTCTTAAAGAAAAGAAAAGAAAATGTAAAAGGAAAGTCTGTCTTTAGCCATCATCTGTATGGAAAGTTGATTCAACTTAGTATCTTAAGTTTATTGAACTTGTTTTGTCGAGTTCAGTTAATTAAACTCAGCAGCATTACACTTAAAACCATAAAAATGAATTATTAAGTGTGATTACCTCACGTTTTTAAGGCAATTTATGTTTCTAAGTGAAATAACTAAAGTGCATTCTCAATTCTGTATGTGTTCGTATAGCTGCCTACAAAACGTTATGAGGCTGCAACATATTTAAACACTTTTTGAGACTTGTTTTAGTCAAATTTAATTTGAAAATACGTTTAAATACAACAAAACTTGAACCAAAGTGCTGCACAATAAAAACAGAAAGCCCTAAATGGTCTAAACTTCTGACTGCAACAACCTTCCTTTTACTCTTTGCAACCTGCTGCAGCATGAAAACACTCTGATGCACATTTGTGCACCAGATCTCAGTAAACAGCTGTTGTTTGTCACATAACACACACACACGTGTTTATTTAGCAGCTTCGGTTGACACAGAAGTTGGAGTGTTTTTGCTCAGAGATGTGCAGAGTCGGTGCAGAGCTGCAGGTGAGCCGGAGGTTGCGGTGAAGCGGGAGGTTTCGCCTCCGTCGTTTCTCAGCACAGACGACGAGCTGCAGGCTGCTCTGAAACCACATCCTCCCTTCTGCCGTTCGTCTTTCTCACCAGCAACAGCTTTGACCTCCTTTAGCTCACAGACGAGGGCTGACTTCCTGCTGCTGTGTGGCAAACTCTGACATTTAGTTTCCTACTGACGCTGTTTGAGCTAAAGGAGGAATTTCTTTATTCTAAAAAAGAATCTAAACATGTTTGTGCACTGAGGAAAAACTGTACACGACTGCACTGCTACACAAGTTTCATAACTGCACATTTCTTAATCTACTTTTTTAAGTTGTCTCCCAATTCTGTGAATATACTGACATGTTTGCAGCCTAATTCTGTTGTATACTGTGCAATGACAGCCAAGAAATTCTAATCTAAACCTTCTTTAGCAAGATTATCTGTGAACACATTTTAAATAAGTAAAAAAAAAAAAAAAAACTAAACAAAAAATAAGACAGAAAATGGGTTAAAAACCTAGAAAATAATTTTGCGAATAAAATTAAATAAATATGAGTGCTACAAAAACTAAAATGGAAAATGAGATAAAAAAAACATATAAAGCAATTTGTAAAACAAATACTAACAAAAAAATCACAAAAATGGGGTAAAACCTATAAAATCAACTGGTAAAATTAAATGTGAAAAATATAAATATTAAAAAAAATTAAGATGGAAAATGGGATAAAAACTTATCAAAGCAATGTGTAAAATAAATGCTAAAAAAAGGACTGAAAATGTACTTTAAAACCTATAAAATTAAGTTGTAAAGTAAATAAAGATACTAAAAAAAACAAGACAAAGAAAAGGATTAAAATCTATAAAATTAATAAATGAATTTTAAAAAGAATAAATATAAAGCGTAAATAACAGACAATTTTAAAAATCAATCATTATAAAATGCTTAAAAAAAAACAAAAAAAGAAGGAAAAACAGGACAACAACTAGTCAGATCACTCTCTACAATCAAATAAAAGTAAAATACTGAAAAATATTCATGAACCAATGAGTAATTGTCACTTGTAAATCCTGAGTCACCAGTTTTCTCATCGGAAAAAAAACCTTCTTCTGCCCTAAAATGAACCAGCTTGTGAAGTTTTCCTGAGCTGAGATGTTTCAAGATTATGTGGGAGCAAAAATAACTGACTTCTCAGAAATCAGGCAGATAAGCGAGCAGCTAAAAATACCTCAAAACTATCTGTGGAAAATATGTTCATATGGGATGGTTTCATTACTGCAAGGCAGCAACGGGCTGAAGCGACCGACAGACGTTGCCATTCGTCAGCATGATTATGTCTTTGTTGATTCACCTTATTTAGAGTGTTTGAAGATAAATGAAAGAACATGATGGTCAGAATCCTCTCAGAAACTTTTATTGAGGAGAAAATTCAGCAAACAAGCATTTAACAAACATAAAATGACTACAAATCTACAAAACCTCCACTACCTGCATGCTATTTATTATTATTGTAACAAGAGTGAGCGCTGCTGTGTGTACTGTGTGCAGAATGTGAGCTGATGAGAGTGCAAATGCAGTTTTAGAAGAAACCTAACTCAGCTCTTTTATCATATAATATTTACAGAGTTACAGAAGATGAACTCATCTCCCAGGATTCGGCGCCTAGTTGTTGTGTTTTCCACTTGAACCCTGCAACAGACAGAAATGAGCTTTTGTATGAGTTGGTCTAAAATATCTGGACTCAGAGGACAAATGTTACACAACTTTTGTAAACTTTTAATCTGACATTATCTGTCTGTCAGTGTTCACTTTGGGTCATTGAAAGTCTGATGATGATGCCGCCACCGTACGTCTGTCATTAAAAATGTTTTTATAGCACCGAAAAGGCAACAAAAAAGATGTGTGTAAGTTGGATAGAGTTCATGTTCAACATACCTGAAGCTTCCACACCAAAAACCCAATGAAGGCTCCGTAGATGCAACTCTTCACGATTAGGACACCGTACGAGAGTTTGGCACTTTGTGTGTGCTTCAAATACTTCTCTGCAGAAAGTTCAAAGAGGAAATATTTAGTGCACAATTTAAACACTGAATTCAATCCCCTTTATCTTAAATATGTTAGAAAACAAAAGCATGTATTTACCTCTGGTCATGCCTCCCTCTGATTTACCTGAGGAAATGATGGACAGGATTAGACAC